AATCTATCACCAGATTACATTCCCAAGGCAAGTCCAGAAGACACTCCCTTCACTAAGGCAATACAAAATGCACAGGTGAGGATCCCTAGTGTCAATGAGGATGCTAGGATTCTAGAATAGCAGAGGCTGGATGGTGGTACTTAATCGACAGAGGCAGGGTAGATGTAATTACAAGACTAACATGGCAGCCAGAGTGCTTCCACTCATGGAGTCTGTGGTGATGGCTAATAGACCATGGTGTTCCTAGGAGTTAAATAAATGAGCGGATGACCAGGTGTTACTTAACTTGTATAATAACCTCATCTCCCAAATCAGGATCTGGTTAGCAGAAGGCTGTGACAGTTGCCACAATGGAAAATAGTATTTCCTCATAAATTTCCCAGATCCAGGCCAGTTCACAGGCTTGGAGCCTATTGATTGAAAAGGAGACCAAGTCTCCTTAAGGAAAAATCCTCCTATACTGCTGAAAGTATATATGATAATTATTTCCCCAATCTTTCCCCACAAGGGATCTGTGGCCAGTCTGCTCAGGCTACTATAACAAAATACCACACACTGGGTGGATTAAACAACAGAAATTTATTTCTCACAATTCTGGAGGCTGGGAAGTCCAAGATCAAAATGCTGGCCAATTCAGTTCCAGGTGAGAATCTTCTTCGTGGCTTGTAGATGGCCACCTTCTTGTGAGCTCTTTGATGTCCCTTTTAATAAGGGCACTAATCCCATCATGAGGGCCCCACCCTTATGATTTTATCTAAAACTATTTCCCAAAGGCCCCATCTCCAAGTACCATGACATTGAGGATATGGCTTCAGCATACGAATTTGGAAGAGACACAATTCAGTCCATAGCAGTGGCCTTTTACCAGAGTAAGTCCAGTCATGGGAAAGGGAACTACCCAGACCTTTCAAGGGCTGTTGGATTCAGAGTATGAGCTGGCATTGATGCCAAAGGATGGGAAACACCATCATGGTCCTCCAGTTAGATTGGAGGCTCAAGAAAGGCAGGTAGTAAAGGGAGTTCTCATGCAAGCAGGTCTAATGAGTCTAAAGATCCACACTCTAATTCCCTGGTCCTTAAATGCGTAACTGGGATAGATACACCTAAGCAGCAGGCAAGACCCTAACATTTACTCCCTGTACCCTACTTCCTGTCCTATTAAATAGAGCCATTATGGTAGGAAGAGCCAAATGGAAGCCTCTAACACTCCCACATTTTTGACCAATTTATGTAAAACCACATCCTGGGAGGAATTGCAGAGATTATCACCAACATCAAAGATTTTTCTTCTCAATTTCCTTCAGTAAGGAGGATCAAAAGCTGTTTGTTTTTATGTGGGATGAACAGCAGTACATTTTCACCTTCTTGCCCCTGGGCTACGTTAATTCTGCTTTCTGTAACACTATAGTATTTAATGACTTTGTTTTTGATATTTCATAGAATATCATGATGGTCCACTATGGTACAGTATTGATGACATAATGCTAATTTGACCTAGTGAGCAAGAATAAACAAGTACTCTAGACGTCATAGTAAGACATATGCATGCCAGAAGATGGGAGATAAAAGGTCTGAAGATTCAGGGGTCAGCCCGGTGGCGCAGCAGTTAAGTGCGCGCACTCTGCTTCGGCAGCCCGGGGTTCACAAGTTCAGATCCCGGGCGCGCACCAACGCACCGCTTGTCAAGCCACGATGTGGCACCGTCCCATATAAAGTAGAGGAAGATGGGCATGGATGTTAGCCCAGAGCCAATTTTCCTCAGCAAAAAGAGGAGGATTGGCATCAAATGTTAGTTCAGGGCTAGTCTTCCTCACACACACACAAAAAAAGTATGAAGATTCAGGGGCTGGCCGGGTGGTGTAGTGGTTAAGTTAGCATGCTCCGTTTCGGCGGCCCAGGGTTCACAGGTTCAGATCCTGGGTGCAGACACACCATTCGTCAAGCCATGCTGTGGTGCCATCCCACATACCAAATAGAGGAAGACTGGCACAGATGTTAGCTCAGGGACAATCTTCCTCAGCAAAACAAAAACAAAAACAAAAAGTATGAAGATTCAGGGCCTTCCATACTGGTGAAGCCTTTTTCTTACCTTTTTGTTGTGGAATGAGTTAAATGTATATAAAAGGAGATAAACTAGTAAAATGAACCTCTAGAACTACTATCATGGCCAATCTTTTTCCATTTATATCCTCACTTACTTCTTCTATCCCATATTATTTCAAGGCACATTGGTGAAGTTATTAGGGATCCAGTAGTCTGGAGCATACCAGTTCATCCTCTGTATAGTAAAGGTAAGTTGTTATACCCTGTACCCTCCACCGCTAATAAAAAGACATAGTGCTTGGTGGAAATACTACTCTGATCTGAAATGCTACTCTATTTATTGGATGCTTGGAAGGCTCCCAGTTTTGAGTGAAGCCCAGAGCAAAAGAGTGTCCAATGTGTCCAATTATAGTACTACAATGTGTCCAATTATAGTACAAGGTTCCCTGTGATATTATCCATATGACCCAGCAGAATCAATGGTGCTAGAGTTGTTCGTGGTGATAAGGATGCTGGGTAGTATCTCTGATAAGCCCTAATAAAACAGTTTCAGTACAGATCTCTAGAGTTCCAGAGCAAGGTCATGTCTTCTTCAGCAGAGAGCTGTTTGCCTTTTGAAAAGCAGCTATTTGGCCACAGTAAAAACTGAATGCCTGGCAAGGTTCTGTGCAACCAGAGATGTCTAGTATGAGCTGGGAATTGTCAGATTCTATCAAGTCATAAGATTAAGCCAGCACATCAGCAATCCATCATATAATAGAAATGGTAGAGGCAGGATCAGGACTGAGCAGGTCCATAGGACTCATGTAAGTTAATGAATAGGTGGCTCAGAGTCCTATGACGCCTACCTCAGCTATCCCGACACTTCTCCCTCAACTCAAACCTTTGGTCTTATGGGGGTGGTTTTCTATAACCAACTGATAGAGGGAGAAAAAAATATTCAGTCCTGACTCACAGATGACTTAGCTTGATAGTAGCCAAAAAATGGATTATTACTGCAACACAGCCCCACTTAGGCGTGGCCCTAAAGGACAATAGTGAAAGGAAATTCTCCCAATGGGTCTAACTATGAGCAGTGCACTTGGGCATTCATTTTGTATGGAGGGCAAAATAGTTTGAGCTGTGGAATTACATACACTCATAGGCAATGGCAAACAGTTTACTTGAGTGGCACCTGTTTGGCTGTCACACATGTGCAACCTGGAAGTGCAGGGCAGTTGACCAATGGAGCCAGAACTAGGAAACAAATGGCTCCTCAGTCTATATGGCTTTTTTAGAAGGTCCCAGTGGGATCAAATCCCAGTCACCTATAGCAACGAGGGCTGGGAAAAGGCTGAGGCAAGTGAAACAAGTGAGGCCCTTGCCTCAGGTGCAGAATTTAAGGGGGTGCCAAAAATTCAATAATCAAGATAAATAATATTTTAAAAAATCAAAATCGATATAAAAATCCACGATGAACAAAACATCAAAATTTTAAGTAAAGACAGGATCAGTATTACTAACTTTTTCCTTTGGCCTCAGGCTCCAATATGTCTCAGCACAGCACCATCATTGATCCTGGTCACTGTCAAAGACCAGCTCAATTATGCCATCTTGGTCAGCCTTACCTCCTTCCCTGTTCACTCTTCCTAATCCTTCACTCCTTTCCCTGGGATCACTCCTCAAAATAAACTATCTCCACATAAATTCTTATCTCAGGCTTTGCTTTTTTATTGGGGGAGGGGAGAAGGATCAAATCCATGCTAAGTAAGACAATGACCACATAAAATACTGTTCAAAGAAGGATACTTCCGAAAGTAAAGGGAAGTGCTATTAATAATTTCACTGGACTAGTCGGCTTAAATCAGACCTGTCCCAGCACATCAGGACATATGATCTTATTACAGACAAGGAAACTGAGGTTCCAAGGCGGTGGGAAGCCAGCCTAAGAAGAGGAGTCAGACCGGAGGCTACAAAAAATGGGGCAGAAATGTCCCTCAGCCTCTTACCAGGGCCTAGAGAAGCAAACACACTTGTACCAAATCTCCAGAGGTGGATCCTTCAGCCTCCCAGTCTCATCTGGCTCCCTCCTGAACCCCAGGACTCAGACAGCACCCCGGGCTAGCTCACACAGCGGCAGAGGGGACTTAGGCCTTGGCACTGAGCAGAATGTGGTCCCTGCTCTGGTTACCCTGACAGATCTGGGTGCCAGAATGGACCTTCTCCTCCTCCCTCCCTCGGTTCTTGGACTGGAGGCGGTTCCTTCTGCAACCCCGAGGCCCTCCTGTCCCAGAAGGCTCTGGCAGCCAGAAGAGCGTGGGGAGACTGACGAGATCAAAACCAGAACCCAGGAGTGGTAACAGCAGAGCCTCCATTACAGTGCCTTCACAAAGGACAGGGCTCCGTGTTGTAGTCTCCTCTAGAGGCCCCAGCAGGATTCTGGGACCACCCGGTAGCCCCTGCCTCCCACCTCCCTCCGTCTGAGCCTGTCTCTGACGCAGTGTGACCTTGCTTATCCCTTCCGGGCTCTGGGCTTGTTTCCCCCTTTTCAAGGTGAGGCTCCTGGCTGTCCCGAAGACGCTTCTCTGGGCGCCGCCCGCTGGAAACTGAATCCAGCCAGCCCTCCTAGGACCGCTGGGGAGGGAACGCCCTGTCAGCTGGTGCCGGCCACGTGCGCGCCGTGCGTGCCAGAGGAGAGGGCGCGCTCCGGTTACCCTGCGCGCGCAGAGGCTTCCCGGACCACCAACTCCACTGACGCGCTGCGCCCCGCCCGAGGCCACCCGAACTCAGACTCGGTTTGGAAGGGACAGCGGAGAGACCCCTGCCCCGGGCGAGACCTGGAGCGACACCAACAAAGAGGGCCAGGGCCAGCCTCTCAAAGACCTTGCTCTTCGGCCTCGGCTCCTCCCTTTTGCCGGCTCCCCCTCGTGGGGCCCAACACGGCGGCCCGGGTCTGGGAGCTCAGCGCTTCGGGGGCGCGGGAGACGCGGGCTGCGCGGGAGCGGAGCTTCCTCCCCCGCACGCAGGCTGCACTGCCCAGCTCCAAGCTCCTGCCCTGTCTACAGCCAGGTAGCAGGGGGCAGCAGGAGCGGAGCAAGAGGCCGAGCCGGCCAGGGAGCCCCACCCCGGCCCGCCCGGCCGCTTTCCCTTCCCCTGCCCCAGGAGGGATGGAGGTGTGGTCCCGAGTTTCTACGGTGGCTTCCAGCTTTGCGTCCACGGGAAAGTTCCAACCCCTGCAGCCTGTTTCCCGGGAACAGTCCCCGGCCGTGCAACCCAATTGCCCGTAGCCTGCCTGGTCTCCGAGAACATTCTGACACTCTCGGGAGGACGCCCTCAACCGCGCGACACTGTCCGAGGAACGCTCTTGTCATCGCTTGTTGCAAGCTAAGAGCAGTGGCGGGAAGCATGCGGGACTACGACGAGGTGACTGCCTTCCTGGGCGAGTGGGGGCTCTTCCAGCGCCTCATTTTTTTCATGCTCAGCGCCAGCATCATCCCCAACGGCTTCAATGGTATGTCAATCGTGTTCCTGGCAGGCACCCCGGAGCACCGCTGCCGGGTGCCGGACACCGCGAACCTGAGCAGCGCGTGGCGCAACCACAGTATCCCGCTGCGGCTGCAGGACGGCCTCGAGGTGCCGCACAGCTGCCACCGCTACCGGCTCGAGACGATCGCCAACTTCTCGGCGCTCGGGCTGGAGCCGGGGCGCGACGTGGACCTGGAGCAGCTGGAGCAGGAGAGCTGCCTGGATGGCTGGGAGTTCAGCCAGGACATCTACCTGTCCACCATCGTGACCGAGGTAGGTGTGTGAGCGATACTCCATCTGTGTCAGTCCCCCTCGAGACTTCCTGGCAGTGCCTGGGTCTGTGTCCCCCACTCTCGGTCAAACCTGGCTGGCACGCAACTAACTGGGTTACGCTTCCAACACAAGTGTGCAGCCCAAGAGAGCAGGACTCACTCCTGATGATTTCTGTCCAGTATGGAGGGGATGCGGAAGGGAGCGCTGTTACCAACTGTCTTTTCCTTTGCCAGTTTCACAACAAATGAAATTGTTTCCCAAGAGCCTAGATGCTGCCCAGATGTACAGCCTGAGTCATGTTCCTGCCACAGGCATGAGAAGGGGTCTGGTAGTCACTGGTGAGCCTAAGTGCGGACACAGAGAAGAGCCTTGCTGCTGGGCAGGGCATGGGCAGGTCTGGTCTGTTCCCTAGCCACAGACTTCTGGAAGCATCAGGGGGTTTCCTGCTCTGCCGTACACCTATGGTGATGCTTGGGGTCCTGTCCTGAGGCTCCAATTTCTCTGAAAAGGAGCAGAAGCCTCTTGATGCTGGCTGAGTGCAGGGAACCAGGCGAGGCATAACCCCAGCCTCAGGTACTCAAGAAGAGACAGACTCACAGAGATGCCTCTGAGCACAGGGCCCAGTGGTAGATAGGGGCTCCAGCTTATGCTATTAGCCCCTTAGCATCCTAAGTGGTTTCAGTAGCAAATTTTCCAAGTTTCAAGAGTCAGGCCGCGCACATACTACTTCACCCCCTGCATTTCCTGCTTCGCATCTGGTAAGGGCCAGGAGATGGTGGGTCAGGGCCTACCTCCTTCTGAGGGGGGTATCCTCACAGACTGGTTTCCTACTGTTGATCAGGCAGGTAGGATTTCCCAGCTTCTAGCTCTTCCTCTGCTCTCTGTTCCTCCCAAGAAAAACTTGAGGGTGGGCCTCTGCTGGTCCTTACTTCCCTTCCCTCAGCACAATGTGGTAGTCATCACACACCATGTCTGGCCTTATGCTGGGCACTAAGCTGTAGACATCTGGGGTGTGGGGCCTGCCCTCAAAGCTCAGATGCCCATTAGGCATACTGGCAGTGTTCCAGAGAGGGCTAACATCAACCTTAGTTAGTAATAGGGTTCTGGAGCCTGAATTCAAATCCTGGCTGGCTTGCTGTGTGACCTGGGGCAAATATATTACCCTCTCTGTGGGCATAACAGGGTGAGGAAATACTCTAAGAAGAGGTGATAAAATTTGAGCTGAGTCTGGAAATATGAGTAGGGTTTATCCAAGCAAAGAACATGGCAGCTTCTGTGGATGGAATTCCTGTAGATCAGGGTGACTGGAGCTCAGGGGATGGCAGGTGAGGCTAGAAATGCCTACAGGGCCAGTTCACAGTGGGCATTGTAGGCATGTTAAGAAGCTGACTTTATTGTGAAGACAGCGAGGAAATAGTAAGTGTTCTAAGCAAGGAGTCACATGGCCAGATTTGTGTTTTTAGAGCTCACTCTAGCTGCTATGAGAAGTGAGAAGACCAGTGAGGAAGCTGTGGGAGTTGCCTTGGCAAGAGACTGGTGGCAGCCAGGAGTGGTGGCTGCAGAATCTATAGGACCTGTGGAAAGTGGGCTCAGCTTATGGACCACCTCTGGATCCCACCAGCATTACCGCTATGTCTACCCTGGGCCCTGACTGTGCTTCTCTGGCTTTGATCCCTTAGCAGGGGCTCCTAGTGCTTGCCTACCTCCTGCCCACAGCCTGGTCCTGGGGCATCTAAGACTGGGAGTCAGCTCACCCCACCTCAATTCCTGGAAGAGCTGGCCCCACTAGCTGCAGCCCTCCCTGACAGCTGGGTTGACCTGTCTCTTTCTTCTTCCTCACTGGTTTCATTCACCTCAGGGTGTGAGGGGTGGGTAGCTGCTGGCCTCCAAGTCCACAGCTACCCCTTTGGGCCCTGCTCACAGGGGCCTGAGGGCACCTCTGGGGATGCACATCATCACACACTCATATGCATGCACCAGGATTTGCCTTTTTCAGCAGCCTTTCCCTTCTTTGCTTCCTTTTTGGGTAGTGGGAGTAAAATAAAAGGCAAGTGGGCATTGGTGGTTGGGAGGAAGGAGGGGAGAAGCACCGGAGTGAGTAGGGTGGGGTGGCTGTCCCCAGAGAAGTGGTGGCACATGGAGGAGTTCTGAAGTCAGACTGGAGGGCCAGTTCTGTCCCCAACCCTAACCACTTGGCTGACTTCAGCAGGTTACATCACTGCTCAAGGCCTCAGTTTCCTTATCTTTAAAAGGGGATACAAGCACATGAAAAGGTGCTCGACATCACTTATCATTAAGGAAATGTGAATCAAAACCATGATGAGATACCACCTCATACCCACTAGAATTGCCACTATCAAATATGCAGAAAATATCAAGTGTTGGCAAGGAAGTGAAGAAATTAGAATCCTTGTGCACTGTTGCTAGGAATGTAAATTGGTGCAGCCACTATGGAAAACAGTGTGGCATTTCCTCAAAAAGTTAAAAATAGAACTACTGTGTGATCCAGCAATATCACTTCTGAGTATGCATCCAAAAGAATTCAAAGCAGGGTCTCAAAGAAATATTTGTGCACCCCTGTTCAGAGCAGCATTATTCATAATAGCCAAAAAGTGAAAGCAACCCAAATGTCCGTCAACAAAATGAATGAATAAAGAAAATGTGATTTATACATACAATGGAATATTATTCAGCCTTGAAAAGGAAAGGAATTCTGACACATACTACAACACAGATGAACCTTGAGGACGTGGTGCTAAGTGAAATAAGCCAGTCACAAAAAGACAAAAACTGTATGATTTCATTTATATGAGATATGAAGAGTAGTCAAACTCATGGAAACAGAAAGCAGAATGGTAGTTGCCAGGGGCTGGCCGTGGGGTGGGAGATGGGGAGGGTAGGGAGAGGAATGGGGAGATGTTCAATGGGTCTAGAGTTTAGCTTTGCAAGATGAAAAGAGTTCTAGAGATTGTTTTTACAACAATGTGAATATATTTGACTCTACTGAATTGTACACTTAAAAATCGTTAAGACAGTAAATTTTAGGTTATTTATATTTTATTACAGTTTTTAAAAATGAGAATCATGGGGCTGGCCTGGTGGCGCAGCAGTTAAGTTCATGCATTCTGCTTCTGCGGCCCGGGATTCGCCCATTCAGATCCTGGGCGAGGACCTACTCACTGCTCATCAAGCCAAGCTGAGGTGGTGTCCCACATAGAGGAACTAGAAGGACCTACAACTAGGATATACAACTATGTATTGGGGCTTTGGGGAGAAAAAAGAAAAAAAAAAGAGGAAGATTGGCAACAGATGTTAGCTCAGGGCCAATCTTCCTCAGAAAAAAAAAATGAGGATGATAAGAGTGCCCAGCTTATCTGAGTTGTTGGGAGGACTCAGTGAGATCGTGAGCCTGTGCTACATCCCCTAGCACCAAATGGGCATCATAGATGGGTGGTGAGGAGAGGTAAGGGCAGGACTTCATCACCTCTAGCTTGGCACTGTGGGCATTGTGGGAGCTGTCCTAAGGTCTAGGTTGAAGCCAGTATAGTGAGTGATGAGACTTGCTGGAGGCTGAGCCCCTTTCCCCAAGGTGGAAGTTCCAGGGCCCAGAGAAAAGGGTAGAGGTCCAAACCCACACTGACTTGGCCAGTGCCAGTAGGAGAAATGGCCCCAGCTTTCCCACAGGGTCAAGCCCAGTGGCCCTGAGCAGGTTCTCTGCATCCTGGCTGGCACAATACAGGTAGAGGCACTGTCCTCAGGTTGTCTCTGCCTTACACCTCTGTGTGGGATCTCCCAGTGGGCATACCCTCTGGGACACCTGAACCAACACACTGACACCTCCACAAGGACAACAGGTCAGCCAGGAATCCAAAGATGGTGTGTTCTGCTGTGGAAATGCCTTTCATAGAATCCCAGGAGGCAGGAATCTGGTGTCTAAGTTGGGACTTGCATGAGTGCATCTGTCTGTGTATACATGTATAAGGTAGTTTCCTTCCTCAGGGGCTGTTTGTGAAGTCCAATTTTTTCAACCTGGGCAGTTACTAAGAATCACATTCTTTAAAGTTGTGAAAATAGTACAGAGATTTCACATATACCCTTCACCCAGCTTCCCCTAATGTTAATAATTTACATAACCATAATTCATTTGTCAAAGCCGGGAAATTAACGTTGCTTACAATATTATTAACTAAACTACAGACCTTGTTTGAATTTTGCCAGTTTTGCCACTAATGTCCTTTTTCTGTTTTCGGATCCAATCCAGAATCCCACATTTTATTTAGTTATCACGTCTCCTTAGTCTCCTCCCATCTGCAACAGTTCCTCAGTCTTTCCTTATCTTTCATGACGTTGACACTTTTTATGAGTCTATCAGTTATTTTGATGAATCCTTAAATTTGGGTTTGTGTGATTTCACTTGTGCTAAGATTGAGTTTGTGCACTCATTAGTAAGAATCCTTGTAGAAGCGATGTGTCCTCAGGGCATCATACCAGTGGTACATGATGTCAATATGGCTTATTATGGTGAAGTTAACCTTGATCTCTTGGTTAGGCTGATGTCTGCTGGGTTTCTCCACTGTAAAGTTACTATTCTTTTCCCTTCATAATTAATAAATATCTTGGGGAAGATACTTTGAGACTCTACAAATATCCCGTTTTTCCTCTGATTTTTACCCGTGATTGTAGCATCCATCACCAGACCCTGAGTGGAACAGCCATCACTGTGGTGTTTGCCTAGTGGTGACTTTGCATTTCCCACATTCCTTCTACATTCCTTTCAATTTATTAATTGGAATTCTTCTATAAAGAAGAGCTTCCCCTTCACTCCCATTTATTTATGTATGCAGTTATTACTTTACATAAGTATAGATTCATCCATATTTATTTTATTCCCTGAGTTATAATCGAATACTATCCTTATTTATTTTGTTGCTCCAGTTGTTCCAGTTTGAACCAAGTTGTTTTTCACTTTAAGGATAAAGAATGTAAAAATCCAGGGTAAG